GCCACTGCAGGGAGCAGTGGTGGCGCAGTGGCCGAGGAGGCTGAGGAGCACAGCAGCTGTGGAGCTCAGAGGAGGCGCCTGGCTGAGGAGCAGCAGCGGCAAAAGGCAATCTGTGGACGGCCACTGGCCACACACGCCCCTGCTCCCGGGCAGGGTGGCCGGTGCGGGGTGCAGAGCCTGTCCTGGGCCTCAGCTCCCACGCGGGCTCTGTGGGAGGACCCTGACCTTCTTCAGCTCCAGGATGAAGTCGTCCACCAGGGTCTTGACCTGCTGAGCGCGGGCTGAGAAGAGGATGACCTTCTCGCTGGCCAGGTTGAACTCCAGCATGTTCCGGGAGGGGATGGTCACAAACAGGATGTCTGCAAAGCTGGGGGACAGGCGCGTGAGGGCAGGGCCTGTGGCCAGGGGACGCCCTCTCCCCAGCCATCCTGCTCCTGGGCCCCGCCTGTCCCACTCCCGGACTCCACCAGCCCCGGCCCAGGAGCTTGCCCAGCCTCCCGCCCTGTCACTCCGTGGCTGCAGAGGACTCAGCAGGTCTCTCCCTGGGCCCCTTCCCCTTCCAGGCGCACGGGCAGTGGCTGCGGACCACATGGTCCGACCACAGTGAGCTCCGTGGGGCAGGGCTGGGTGTGGTCTGGGGGGCAGGATGGCCGGCGGGTTCCCAGCTCATCTACTTCCTAGCCGTGAGCCTGAGCCAAGCACCTCCCTCCCTGAGCCCAGGTCCCCGTCTCTAAAATGGGCTGGGTTCAAGGGCTGGGCACCATGTTGGTGCTCGGAGAGACAGTGAGGAAATGCTGATGCCAGTCTGTGCCCCAGTGTCCGGCAAGCCCCGTTTTCACCCCCTGCCAGCACCTGTACGTGCGCAGGACACGCAGCTGCCCGCTGGCCTCCCGGCTGCCCCTGGCCATCTGCAGGAGCTTGATGCCTGTGTGGGGACACAGCTAGGATCTGCACGCCCGTGCCCACGCTGCCCTGGGTGGGGACAAGAGCACGTCAGCCTTGCCCTAAGCCCCGGGGTGGGCGGGGTGGGCAGGCTGGCAGCGGCTCGCAACCGTGGCGGGGAAGAGGCGGGGAGGAAGTAGACCTCCCAGGCTGTCGCGTGCGGTGTTGGACCACAGCCCGCTTCCACGCTCTTCGTTCCACCAGCGGCCTCTGCGTGGTCCAGCTGGCTCTGGGCTGAGGGATGCA